GTCGGCTAACGTAACAGTCAGCACCCTACCTGGTTGATTACGTTTATCCAAAGATTGCAAAATTTAAGAGAAAGAGATTAAACACAGAACAGGAGACACATAGACAGACACGTAAGCAGAGAAAGATAACACAGAGACACACAGAGAGAGACAAACACATAGGCACAGAGAAACGACGCCCCTGTGTCGAGGCCTTAAATAGAGAAAGAGGGGGGCAGAGAGGGATGGGGGTTGAGAAATTAGCATGTCAATGTTCTCTCGACACAGAGGCGTCGTTTCTCTGTGTGCCTATGTGTTTGTCTCTTTCTGTGTGTCTCTGTGTGATCTCTCTCTCTGCTTACGTGTCTGTCTATGTGTCTCCTGTTCTGTGTTTAATCTCTCTCTTAAATTTAGCAATCTTTGGAAAAACTTAATCAACCAGGTAGGGTGTGTGACTGTTATGTTAGCCGACTATCTGTGTTGTATTACATTATATTTCTAAGTTTACTAGGTTTTGTTTTCTCTTTCATTTGTACCTGATGATGATTGCTTGTGTTGCAATCGAAACGTCGTATGATATTATTTATTATTTTCTCTTTCTAAGTGACTTACCGAAAGAACCAAAGAGTAATTCCTGCAGTCACGAAAGCGCCAAACCAAGTTTTAGTTCTAATGTTGCAATATGTCAGTGCAATTCATGAACAAAATAGGAAACGAGTTTTCAACACTCACCAAAGCTGCCGTGTGTCTCTTCCTCCAGTCGGCCCTCTGTTGATCTCATGGCCATAATCAGGGGCTCTTTCAACCCTGCACTCCTGTTCTCCACCATATTCGGCACGCCCAGGTGCAGCTGCACATTTTGGCTCTCTGCTGGTGGTCTAATGTTGCACATTCCGTCCTCGGGTGTCTGTGTCCCAGCCCAGCTGCCCGGCTCGTTTGCATCCCGAGTCGCTGCCGGCCGCGTCTCCTGCAGCTCGGCTCTGCTATTCGTTGCTCCCATGCTCTGCCTGCAATCCAGCAAGGGGTCTTGAGTCTCTTCTACCAGGCACGTCAGCCTCGGTCTCTGGTCCGTGAACACTGTCGACTGGTATCGGCCGTTTGCCTGAGTGTCGAATGTGGGCAGTCTCTCTGTGTTGGCCAAAACAATGTTCTGTGTGTCCTTTGAACTTTCAAACAGCCGTCTCTTTTCACAGTTGCCACTCAATAGCAGGGATGAACTGAGAGGCGGAACCTTCCTGTTCAGCTGGCGATGCTGCTCAGAGATCATTGCATCCTACCACAAAATAACAAAACAACACAAAAGGGTGGCTAAGTTATTACATGTATGTATGTAGAACTTCCTTTGCACAGTTCGTAGCCAACTGTGATAATCGGAGGTGAAAGTGAGCCAGACAATAATCTCACACCAGTCAAATTGCCGTGTGGCCGTATGTAGGTGGTATGTTGTATTTACATTATTTTCCAAATTCAGATATGTCTCGAACCATACTTACATTGATCAATGGTGATGTCACACAAATCAAATATAATTTGTCAGATTTGGGACTGTGGTGCCACGTTACTTTTAACTCACACTGCTAAGTCGTAATATTGCATTTAAGTAGGCCTGTGTGGCATGTTCATGCTTTTAAATGTAGCCGAGCTTGATCAGAAATGCGGTGATGTTGGCTAGTCTTTTACATGTAAAAGCCCTAATATAGTCTATTTCCATCATTTGTAACCTACAAATAAAATTTGAAACAACCCAGGTCAAAATTAGTCCGAGGTTGAGGGGCTCACGTCACCAGAAGCCAATTAAGCCGACTGAATGAATAGTTGACTTAATAATAAATTACAATATAGCACCTGACCCCAAAATGATTGAGCAGTGATCGAGTGTTTACAGTTGTTTAAGGCCAAGCTTCTACCCCAACCTGGCTTTAACCAGCGCTGAAGTGGGTATTAGGACTAATCCAGTTTATCTCGCGATATGCCGAGGAGAATTTACATTTTCATCATAACAGCTTTTGATATATATTTTTTAAGCAAATACGGCATGACTTTAATAACTTGGACAGAGGAATGTGACTTCATATTTGTGTTTATATTTTCCATTCAATCATCTGCTGCGTTTATTTTTTACAGCAATGAAAGTACACAATCGTCATCTTATGCTGTGTTATATAATATACTTGAAGAATTCACACACATGTTGTGTTATAGCAAGGATGTTTTGTGATCCAGAAACGGTGTGCAATTTTAGACACAGCAATGAGATGTTAAATGTGACCAAAGTAAAAAATTAAATTTTACAGATACATAACTCGGTCTCAAAAACCTGCGAAAACCCAATAACACTTTCCACTTAACAGTTGATTTTCATCAGATTTGTCCTCATGGTTGTAATTGCGTTGAAGATGCAGGCTTTACATGGTTTGATACCATATGTTGATTCTCTAACATAACTATTGTGGCTTTTAATGAAAGCTGACTTTAGCCTCTCTATGTATAACACTACCTGACAATGGCACTTTTCTGTAAGGGAAAATAAATAAAATAATCATCCCTTGCCTGAATAAGTTATGCCCCCTCTATCACTGCTCAACATTCATTTTTGAGCCTCCACTTTGAATGCAGTGAGACACGACGAGTATATTCTAGCTAATGCACCTCGCCTGGGCTAAAATGGGTGCGGCAGCTGAAAGCTGCTAGTATAATCAATTGACCAACTGCAGCAAGACACTTGCCTTTGAGAAAGAAAAAACATCCGACATGTATGCAGACTTATCACTGCCCTAATAATGGGGACAACAGACGTAGAATGACGAATCAATCACATTTATGAAGATGAACACGTGTAACACGTTTCTCTTTCTCACGAGGTTAGACATATTTGCTGATGTAAATAGCGGGTATAATTCAATCAAAGTTTACATTTTATTTAATGATTTTTTAAAATCATGACTTAAAGCTTTCGTGACTGCAGGAACTCATATTCTTTTGGTCTTTCGGTAAAGCCATGTAGATAGAACAAATTATAAAATAATAACAATATCACGACGTTTTGATCGCAACACAAGCAATCCTCATCAGGTGAAAAATATAGCGGGAGAGCTGCTGAGAATACATCGTGGGAGTGCTGCTAAGGCAGGGAGTTATAAAGGATTGAGATGGATGTAGCCCAAGGGTCAGTGGGTGGGGCTAGAGATGAAATTTGCATGTAAATGTAAGATCAGATAAATCTTGACAAACGAAGCTGTGGGGGTGACCATTGCATTGTGAGAGATTAGCATGTCAATGTAAGAGAGATTAGCATGTCAATGTCAGAAATGTGCTTGTAAATGTAAGCTCGGAGAGAGCTCGGAAAGAGCCATCGCCACATGGAGGTGGAAAAGGATGGCAAGCCGCCATTTACTAATGTAGCCCAAGGGTCAGTGGGCGGGGCGAGAGATGAAATTTGCATGGTAATGTAAGATCCGAGAAATCTTGATAAATGAAGCTATGGGGGTGGCCATTGTATTGTGAGAGATTAGCATGTCAATGTAAGAAATTTGCTTGTGGCGATGGCTCTTTCCGAGCTGTCTCCGAGCTTACATTTACTAGCAAATTTCTTACATTGACATGCTAATCTCTCACAATACAATGGCCACCCCCACAGCTTCGTTTGTCAAGATTTCTCTGATTTTACATTTACATGCAAATTTTATCTCTAGACCCGCCCACTGACCCTTGGGCTACACCAATCTCAAACCTTCATAACTCCCTTCCTTAGCAGCGCTCCCACCATATATTCTCAGCTCTCCCGCTATATTTTTCACCTGATGACAATTGCTTGTGTTGCGATCAAAACGTCGTGATATTGTTATTATTTTTATTATTTTATTATTTGTTATATCTACGTGGCTTTACCGAAAGACCCAAAGAATATGAAAATTTTAAATTTACATTGTTTTATTTGCTGTCTAGACTGGTTGACTCAAACATCTGGTTTAAATTGTTTAGATATATGTTAATAAAACGTACATTGTCATATTCTTTGGGTCTTTCAGTAAAGCCCCGTAGATAGAAAAATAAAAAAATACGTACATTTGATAAACGTGCACATAACACTTTTACTCACTGTTTAAGCTTAAGCTTAATTCGCTTTTACTGATAGGAACCTCCTGGTTACACCAGCTCACAGGGGATTATTGTGTCCGTCCGTCCGTCATGCAGGGAGGGGCTGGGTGGGGAGAAAGGGGCTGGGTGGGGAGGGGAGGGTGGGGAGGGGCTGGGTGGGGAGGGTGGGGCTGGGTGGGGAGGGGAGGGTGGGGAGGGGCTGGGTGGGGAGGGGCTGGGTGGGGGGGGGTGGGAGGGGTGGGCTGGGTGGAGGGGCTGGTCACCCCGTGGTGCCCTTATAAACTCAACATTTAACCTACTCACGCCGGCTTGTGCCTGCCCCACAGTCGGGCATATTTGCGAAATACACCACGCCGCCGTTGACCCTGGCCATTGACCGAGCAACCCAACGTTCCGACCAGCTCCTTCCGCAGGAATGTGTTTCTTAATTTGTGACATGGGTACAAAGACAAAGTTTTAGAAAAGTGCTATTAGCGAACACCGATGAAAGCCGGCACAGCACATGAGGGGTGAGTGGCCAACACCACGCCCGGCCACCTTTGTCTACCCAGTGGTGATATTTACCTAGTTCGTCACTGGTGTTGGCCCGTGAGTGGGAATTGAACTCGAGTAACCGGGTTCGTAGTGCAGTGCACTAAATGCTACCTTACCACACCCCAAAGGTACACACAGTTAACCTGTATCCTGCATCAAGGTTCTTGGATAATAGAGAACCACGCTGCGACACACACACACAGAGTGTCACCATGTACATGTAAAGACTACTCAACGCACTTGTCTCAGATGGTTTCTTTTATTAAGGCGCCACATGCTCACACTCGAACAGGCGGAGACCACACTGCAACAGCCCAGAGTCTCCAGCGCATCTCCCTTATATACGGTCCAAGGCCACGCCCCCATTCCCGAACCTTCTCGCTGATTCTAGACGCTCGCTCTACCAGCAGGACTCTACCGTCCTCTTTCGTCACCTGGCCACGCTCCTATTCTCGATCATTCCAGCAGCCAGCAGTCCACTGGTACTGCAAGTTGACTCCCCCTGTCATTACCTCCGTGGCACTAGTCTATTCGCACTGCAGGCTGAATCTACTGTCATTACATTACACACGCACAGAGTGCCACCGTGTGCACATGCACACAGAGTGCCACCGTGTAGGCATACGCACACAGAGTGCCACCGTGTTCACACACACACAGAGTGCCACCGTGTTCACACGCAACCAGAGCGAACCCCGACGGTACTCAAGCCTCGGATTACAAGCAGGGCGCGTGTGCTGGGGGCGCTCACACAGAGCCTACTACCTCATATTCTCCACTTGACATGACAGAATATAATCTATGAAAATGTTAATCAATAAAAAATAGTTTAAGCTGTCGTTAAATGTGCCTCAGAAAAGTCGATAGCAATTTTTGTGATGAACAATGTCCCGGGCCATCAGGGACTCGTTTGTGACAGCACTCTGCCGAGAACGACTGTCGAAATAAAATAACAACTGTTGTGAAGTGACAAAAGGTATCGCCATTCAATTGCTGTATGCAGCCAAAATGCCTCTCTTTAAAGAGAACATTGTGTGCACAGCTTTTGTGCTGGGGGTAACGCTTGCTGATAGCTAATTAATACTTAATATCACCTTTTGTCATAAAAAAATAAATCAATACTCATCCATTATTTATTATTCATATGTATTTATGGGATGTGTGCTTGCGAGGCACTTAACTTCACAACCATTTTGATGTATTTACTACATTAAATGTTTCACACAAATGCGGCAGTATAATGAGGAACAGAGAAATACAATTTTGCGAATTACAATCGCACATGCATCTTTTCTTAAACATCCCTTTCGATGTGCACAGTTAAAATTAATCCCTAATAGAGTTTTTGGGGGTTAGATTGCGTAAATATATAAATGTGTCGTTAAAACCTGCCACCACCCGACACAGCCAACTAGTAAGGGTGTCACGTAATCAGAACATGCCAATTCATCACTAGTACAGCACACCGGTGTGTTGGAAAGACAAGCCACAACATTTACAATCTGAGTACGACGTTTCGCCAGTAATTACAATTAGCTTCATCAGGCGACATCCAGATGTATATATATAGGCGTGGAAGTGGCGTAAAGTGGGGGATGGATTACTGAGTCAACGTACATTATGCATGTGCATTATGCGAGTCCTTTAAATTCACATTAAAAGCCGTAACAAAATATACGATGCTCTCTGTATACGATCGACAATCAGAGTGATAACGTAGCGCAATGCCACAAGGAGCTGCCCGTAATTATCGTCAAGAGATATGTCTGTCTAAGATAGTTATTATGTTTCTGGTTATTTTAGAAATTGTATTATTTGTCCAGCATACCTTTATTACAAGAGGAAACTTTGCTTCTTCACAACTTGTATTCTTAAAATGTATTAATAACACCACTAAATAAAGGACATTATATTTAATGAGACTTCACTAAAGACAATTACTATTATTATTATGGTAAAGAGCACAAAGCACAACAGGTTCTAATGAAAACCACTACATTCTTTGCATACCTTATGCTACCAGTCATAAGCCTCTTGAATTCACAGCAGAAGCCATTTTGCGTTACATATCGTAGAAATTACCTCAGTACACTATTTAACTGAGCATCTGTCATTTGTGATCATTACAGCGTAGTTACATTTATGTTAGGCTTGAAATTCTAGTTATGAACGAAGAAACCAGACCGTGAGCCGATTGTGTAAATCTGTATTTCAATGGATATAGTATATGTCAACAAAGGGCATTTATTTTTACACAGCATCACACATCTGATTACGGCACTTTGTGATGTATATAGAAACACGTCTAGATTTTTAAAAGTATAATACTTAATTGTATTTATTCCATTGTAGAAAACATAATGCGAGTATTGGAACATATTAAACATTACACTTCATTGCAGTGGACGTTACAATTGAAAAGGATATTTCGTGAAATACTCAAGGGTTAAAATATTTATTTGGCAAATAAATGAATAAAAATATGCAAAACATGCATGGAAACTGTGCATTACGCTACTACATTTGCATATTTGATCAAAATTGATTTAATAAAACACTGCTTTTAATGCATGCTGGTCAGTCCTCCAGTGTAGGACATCCATCATAGCCGCAACCTATCAGGTCCAGTTGTCCTAGCAATATCAGCAAACGGGGCACTTTTTAGAGCGTTATCATGGAAACATGTGACATATGTCAGATGAGGTCTGGCACTGGGCGACCTTTGACCTAGTGTAGCATTACTCGCTGCCTCTCTTCTCTCGAAATTACACCCCTACTCCCCTCCATGTAATTTCAGCGATCAGAAAGACAATTTCGAATATCAGGTTTAATAGAATATTTTTACAAGAAAATGTTTTTGTAATAAAAGTAAAAGGTTAATAGTGTCTTACTTTAATGCAACGCATTGATGAAACATAACGACGCAAGCTGGTGACTAAGAAATTAAAGATTTGTTGAAAAATATTATGATGCTCTGATCTTGCAGTTGGTCACAGGAGCAAGCTCGTACAGGGAATCGGGTGGATCGAATCTCACTGATGAAAGCTCGCTCTGATCCTGTCTGACAGCTCTGCCGCCACTGATTTGTCAGCCAGCCCACAAGTCTAACCCACAACCTGCTCTCGTCGGATTAATCAAAGACACATCAAGATAAATCTAAAATAAAAGAACAAAAAACACGCAGGCTAGCTCATGATTTTTTACATTGTTCAAATGTTTCCAATTTTAGAACATAATTAATGAGATGGAATGTTACATAGTTTGACCGTTCTTCATACCTCATATTTTTTCTGGAGTAAAAAGTCTGAAAGCATATGACTATTGTATCGGATGATGGAAAATACAACACCTCTGCAGATATAGTTATTCAGTATGGCCCAATAAAACGAATGCGTAAACATTTAAACTCCGAATGGTTGGATACAAGGTGACTTTGGGAAAGATCTTGATTTACAACCCGTATGGATACGGTAATTGCTTAAGGCTCTTACATTTAATATATATAATTTATCACCAGAAACACAACGTTAAAAATAGTCAGGGAAATAGTGTTTATCTTATCACACAATTACCAAATACTTACTTAACCCCCCCACCACCACCCTTAACTTATATCCAAGTAGCAAGTTGGGTTTCGAATGTACTATCATTGACATAACTTCCTAAATGAGCTGATAATTTTATACCATGACAATAATGTTCATTGAACACTTTTAATAAATAAAGCTCATTTGTAATAATGGCATTCACTTTAAATGAATGCGGCGTTGACATGGGAGCACAGAGAGCATACATACAAGAGGTGTAGAGCGTTAGCATCTCCCAAAGAGAAGCTCCTTGAACCATGAGCATCACGCTTTGGTTGCGCTGCCGCATACCTCAGCTGCACGGCGCTGTCAGTAATGAGCTGCGTGCAGGGTGAAGGGAGTATAGAGGCGGCCTTGGAGACACCACCAGCCTTACCTGTCCATTGGATGTCATCAGCGTCCCCACGAGCCGCGGACCTCTCAGCCAGCGAGCGTCCATCTTCGCATCACGTCACCAGAGGAACGGCCGCCCCGGCTCCATGGGGCTTGCCACACTTCCCCAACCCCATCAGTCACGGTGGGAGAGGTCAGACCTTCACGGTGCGCCGTGCTGCCAGAGAGAATGCCGGATGGGTATTACAGTTTTGTCAGCCGTGGACTTTTAAATATCACGCATTAACAGAAACGTGGGCTGCGGAATATGGGGGAAATATAAAGGGGCCCTGACAAATTACGTGGGTTTAAATTAACGTGTTTTGGCGAGGTCGCGTGTCTACGATGGAGGTCGCGCTGGATCATACAGCTGCTGCGAGATCCAGCGGAGGGTGGGAAGAGTTCGCAAGGTTTGGTGGCATCAACAGCTTTGGCCACTATGGTATCTTGATCTTCTCCAAATTTTGGTGAAAAGCAATAGTATGGTGAATATAAAGAATTGTTATGGTACCTAAAATGAATATTTCAATAATTGACAATTAAAAAAAAACTATAATATGCCATGTATATAATTATTACTTTGTTAAATATCATGGTATTATTATATAGTTATGTCCCTTGTTGTCGATGCTGGTTATTCCATACAGGTTACATCAGTACTTAAGTAAACTCACAGCGCGGGGCAGAGTGAGTGTGGGAACTCGATACATTATGCAATTAAAAGTCCATGCTTTAACATTCACAGTGATAGCAATACTGCATGTTGTTACACGTGCGGGATGCGCGTCAAGGTGCAGCAAAGAAACAGCAGCACACGTTTCACCTATACAGTAAATACCAAGAACTGGCATAAAGTAGTCATGGAGACCCATCACGCCACTGATTTCCTGCGTTTATAAATTTACGCCAAATATTCCGTACTTCCACGCACCCGATAATTGTTAACACGTGACATTCCTAGCCATTCAATGCTGTCTGTGTAACGTGGAATCATGTACACAGACGCCCAGATATACATTTTAAGAATACAAATTTTAAGAATTAAAATTGAGAATTAAAATCGAGAGGCGATTCAAATTGAGATTGAAATCTCAGTGTCCGTGTGTATGCACGCGCGTTTGCGACAAAGACAGCGTCAATTGCTTTGCGCGTCACGTGGGACGTGCTTAACAATCATCTGACGAGTGCAGCGTGGAACGGCTGAACTTGTATTTGAATGGAAGTAAATTGGTAAATGCAAAAAGACGTGGCGGTGTGCTTTGTCGCAAGGACTGCAGTTTGGGAAATCATGTGAGACAGCTAAGACACAAGTGGTGTGCTGAGCAACTGACTAGAAATGTCATCTATTTCCAATTTACCGCTTTGAACAAACAATATCTTCAATTGGCAACATTCAGCCAGATTTCTCTATGCTCTGAAGGGGTTGTCTCCGAAGGTGCCAATTCGCGTTTATATCGTTCAGCTGGAGTATGCGTCTGTGCCGATGTGAATAGATATTTGAAAAGTAACAGTACTTTTATATCACACGATGGTTGCCACTCTTAATTAATGCACTTATAAAAAAAATATCCTAAGTAAATACATCTGTGTATACTGTTTTGGACTTCTAGGTGTTGTTACTCATGCGTCAAACAAGCAGTGCTATATTCAACGTACTTTTTATTTAGTTTTGTGTGTAGGTATACGTCGATTCAAATGTTGAAATAAATGTGTAATCGTTTAACATCTCATTCCGGGTTCCATCGTCAGGTAGCGCGACTTCAAACCGACAGTGACTATTGTGATGAAGTATGGTCAAGCACCCGTTCCAAGGAGTTATGCTTAAGCGACAATGTAGGAAGGCAATCCATTGAGCAGTATATAGATCACAAGCGTTGATGATTTTGAAAATAATTTAAAATAGCAGACGTTTAAGAACGGCGTTCACACGCGGAAACGATAGCCCCGGCGCACGGTGTCCAAGCCGGATCCACGGCTAACAGATCCACCACCTCAGAGGAAGGGCAACAGTCGCAGTACACGGAGAGTCCCCCGAAGTTCTCGTAAACCAACAACATCCGTTAAAAAAAATGCACTCCACACAACCGTCAATAACACTTCCCCGAAGAAATGATAATAGTAATAATGTGCGACAGTTTAGGAAATGGTCCTTTACAGAAAAAACAATGATGGGCGTTATCGAATGGTGAGTTTTAGTTTTTTTTGTCCTTGTGCCCAACTTCCCACGCATTATCACAGATCCCCTTTGTTCTCAATAGCCACTCGGCGTGATTAATGGTAGTGTAATGTAGCTCTCAGAGACACTGTCTTGTTCTTTATTTATATTTATTATGAATAAAGTCTGCTGACAACTTAACACGTAACCGCGAGTGACTATATACACTTGGGTAATTAGACGACTCTATTCTGAGACAATGTAACTCTAGCCATCAAGACTACTCAAAGACGACGGCGATTCTCCACAACAACAGCCACCAGTTCCGGCTCGCGCCGGCTTTTATCCCTCGCACGCCCCGGCCACGCCCCTATTCCCGAACTCTCGCTCACCGCACGTGGCCCTGTCAATCTCCGCCCTGATTACACTTCACGGACGTTGGGTCCCGCGCTTCCCCCTCACGTGACCCTGTCAACGTTCGTCCCATCAATCCTCATTAGCACGTTAACTAGTAACTATGGTCCTGGGGAGCCACTGTCCCTCTATCGCCCTGTACTGTCTTTACATCAGCGCTGCGTGGGCATGCCTGAGTAGACACGGACACGCAGACTCTCACAGGGACAGAGACGAATAATTAGTCATATAATTAGTCAAGGAAAGGAACACAGTTGTCACGGAAAGCATCCGATTTGCCAGACGACTTTCGCAGGCGACTGGGGCCTTCTTCGCTTCTGCACTTCTCGAAGCTCCCGGCATGCGGAACAAAACGTCGGACATCATGTCAAACAATTCGCGATACAACCCGAAAACACATCGGGGAGTTGTACAGCACAACCGGGAAACACGCACCATAGTGACTACTCCAGTGGAGTCTCATATGTATCCGCGCCCAGCAGCGCAGCGTGGACTAGCATTGGCACCACATCTCCGTATATAACAGTGTAAAAAAAAAATGTTCTTGGGTAGTAAGTGTTATTTCCTAATCGCTTATGCCTCAAAAGTACAGAAAATGGCTATTATTCCCCACAAACTTTGCTTTTGTGACTAGGACAGTGATATTTTGAAATATACCTATTTTCAATGAGAAAACGTGTGCATTTGTCTTTCGCTCACATAAAGTCCTAGTCACAAAAGCAAAGTTTGTGGGGAATAATAAGACATGTTCTATACTTTTTAGGCATAAGAAATAAAAAAATAACACTTAGTACCCAGGAATAAAAATTGTGTATAATTAGACTTACTACCAGCAGTGGTGTACTGGTGAAATAAGTGGGGGTCGACTAAAGTATTGGTGTTCCAAGTGTAATGCGAACATAAACGGGGTAGTTGCTGGCCTCCGCGCCAATCACACGGCCCGGAGCATTGGGGGGCGGAGCCTGGTCGGCGGAGCGTGTGGGAGGAGCCACTGCTCACCTCGGCTCCAATGGGAGACGAGGTGAACGGCGGGGCGGAGACGGGGGCAGTACGGGAAGGAGGAGTCAGGGTCACGTGAGGGGGAGGATATAGGGAGAGAGCCGGAAGAGATCGAGGAGTTGGAACGGAGCGAGAATAGGGGAAGCCACGCTGGGCAGTGCGGAAGATGGCGCCTTCTGCCACGTGGTGGAGCGGCGCCATCTGCCACGTGGTCGTAGACCTACGCACACCGTCGGCCAGCGGTGTGCGTGGGGTAGACGGGCTAACGGTGTGTGAGGGGCTAGCAGAGTGTGCGGGGCACACGTGGCTAGTGAGTGACTAGCGGAGTGTGCGGGGCACACGGAGCGAGCGGTGTGGCTGGTGGCGAGTGCGGGCCACACGGAGCGTGCGCGGGGCGCGCGGCGGAGGCGGCGCGGGTCCGGCCGAGGACCAGCGGGGTGCGATACGAAGAACCTAAATAAACGACAACGGAGACCAAGAGAGCCTGACAGAGTCGTTTATTACACAAGGTTCGGTGTTCACACAGCATATGTGTTTAGTTTGCTGCCCTTCCCCAGCACCTCCGATTAGCACGGTTGGCTACGTACGGTGCGAAATTAAGTTCAACATATATATTCTCCGAATGAGGAGCGGATAATCTCCGTTAACCCGCCGACATTATCAGTGACGACACGACTTGACCACCTACCTGCCACGCGACCCTCCTTTGTAAGACGACTTAAACCTAATATCTGATTAGTTACTTTCAGTGCAATTTGTGGATTGTATGCAAATGCTACCATTAGGCTACAAGATAAATGTAGTTATCCTGATTTATTATTCAGGTTGAATCTCCCCAGCATGTGCAGCGAAACGTCGTCCACTGTGCCAAACAACATACGGAACAACGTGAAAGCACATCAAAGTGCAGCATAGAAACCCCACAAAAACTTCCGCAGTGGGACAAAAACCTTGACTTGTAAAAATGCGCACCAGCAGAGCTTGTACGAGGGCGATTCGTGTCTCACACGAGAGAGAGATTCACTCGGCAACTCTCTCACGTCGAGTTGTCAGACAGCAGGGCATCTCTTCCGCGTCTCGTTGCACAGCCCTATAGCGCACGACGCTGCGATGTTTAAAGACGACGGAGTAGAAACTCTCCGATTTATTTTCGCATTGTACCGCGTGTTCTTATCAGCGTGATATCCGACGTTTCTCTGCACGTGCTAGTGGGAACTTCTTTAGCAAATGAATTGGTTCGGTTTATCAAGTTCCTGAAGAAGCCCCCCCCCCCCCCCCCCCCCCCCCAGCACGTGGAACGAAACATCGGACATCCCGACGAACAACAGGCGGTACAACTCGAAAATGCATCGGATAAGCTATACAGCACACCCCGCGATAAAAGCCTACGCAGTAGTATCGAGATAATGATAACACCGTAGACGGGAAATGTATTCAATGAGTGGACAATTATATTATTGCACACGTCGCAAGCAGAATTAATCGTCGAGTCACACTGGAGCACAATGAGAGGTCCATGCGTGCGTACACAGCAGACCTCACCTTCCCCAAACAGCAGAACCTG